ATAGTCTAATAGCCATTAACTGAAACAATAATTAATTGTCCTCTGTTACAATGTCTTGATAATTTGTTCGGCCAAAAACCGCTTGGCCTTGAAAATTTGAAATACTTTTGTTTTACAACTCGAAGACGAAGTGAAAGAAATAGTTTTAGAACCAGTATATCTCACAGAAAAGATCAGATAAATAAATGCAGATGTTTGGTAGTATAGTAAGTGCTTGTTGACTGCAAATTCATTTGTCTTTCGTTGCAAACTTTTCTGAAAATTTATATTCTCAATGAACATGTTTTTTTCGCTGTTGTTTCGGTATTAATTATTTAAAAAACTTGTATTTAAACAAATTTCTATGTATTAAATGTATTTTGCTAACCTGTCAAATTTTTTTGAGATTTTTTCCTTGTACTATTATCTCTCAAAGCGAATATTTTCCTTTTTTCTGCTTCGCAAAACTCATGTAGTTTTGGACCGCCATCTTGTTTTTCGCTACTCGCCGTATATGAGCTGATATACGGCGAGTAATTCAACCAATCAGATTGCAGAACAGCTCATATACGGTGGATGACTATATTATATATATATATATATATATATATATATATATATATATATATATATACTATATATATATATATATATATATATATATATATATATATATATATATATATATATATATATATATATATATATATATATATATATATATATATATATATATAAAATTTGGTTTCGATGGTTATAAAAACTTTTGGCAAAGTGCTCAATGGAAAACCAGAGCATATTTAAATTAAGGTACAACAAATCAACAAAATCCACTAGGCATCTTTATATAAAGACGCCTAGTGGATTTTGTTGATTTGTTGTACCTTAATTTATATATATATATATATATATATATATATATATATATATATATATATATATATATATATATATATATATATATATAAATATATATAAATATATATATAATAAATATATATATAATAAATATATATATATATTAAGATGAAAATGTTCTAGAGTGTGTATTATATAATATATTACAGAGTGTACAATAACACAACTAAATCTGGATGCGTTGAGATGTCATCATCCAAAGGAGTGTCATGGCGAGTTCCCTCCCCTTTTTTTCTATAACCAACGTCTTTCCGACCTTCCTGTTCAATGCAATTGTTATGTACATTATGTACTTCACGATATAGTTCCTGTTTTCCTCGTAGCCGCTCTTTGTGACGTGTGGGAGACTAGTAAGTAGTTCTTTGTCCAGAATACATCTCCAACCAGTCTTTCTCTTCATTACAGTATACAAATGTTGCTTGACTGGCAAACAAAAAATTTAGGCCTGTTTTAGACGGCGTAATTTCTACGTGCCGAACCTATTGAAATCTTATTTTGTTCGACTTCACTGCATTTTCCGGCGTGGAAACGGAATATTGAATATTTAATTTAATTTATTAACTTCGCGAATGCTTATTCCTCATCCTGAAATCAAAACTGCCGAAAAAGCTCTTCGCATTCTGAAACACAGGTCGCGATATTTCAAGTAATATTTTTATATTTCACAGGATAGTCAGGAGACGCGTCAACTTCCTGAATACGGAAAAAAGCTCGATGCGGGCATAAGCAAGCAATTGTTCAATCTTACCCCCATTGATTCCATCAATTACAATTACTGATCACAACACGACAGACGGAAAAACAAAAAATATATTTTCACACTCATATTATTTGCATAGACTAAATAGGGACAGTAGTATGAAAACATTCAGTGATTATTATTAGCTACAATTCTATTCAACTGTTTTCTAATAAAATAACCTCGCCAAACTTGGCTGATTTTTTATCCTTAACCTACAAACGACAGACGTGCATGTTATATGTCCTGATGAACAATTCGTTTTACGGAACTAGTGTCAAAAACATTGATCATTTAAGCTTGGTCAACTTTAGCATGGGAAAAGACGGTTTTTCAAAGTCTTCAATACCTTTTTTCCTTCTCTGCGCAAAACATCATTCTTCCAGAAAAAGATCACACAGTTCAATGTGGAATTCGTAGCAGCTATAGTACCAGCCCAAAATTGAGACACGGTCGTTTTTTTTGACGTCGATTTCTCAGCGAAGTTAAACGCAATGAAGAAGAAAGCAGGAGTGTAGATCAACATGAGACAGGCAACTGCCAACAAACAGGTATGAATGTTCTTTAAATTAACATGCAAGGTTGATAAGGTTGATTCCTCGGGTGATGCTGTGTTGTCGCGTCGCATTTTTCTGGAAATCTTAAACATTTTGTAGTTGAGGAAAATAATTGGTGGAAATATAATGGCGAAGAAAATGACTAAACCCACTGGCAAGGAAATTAAGTCGTTTAGATACATCACTATTAAGATAAATGGCAGAATGAATAATACTGCGAGGAGTGTTAGCAGTCTGCGTCTGGTCACTGATGTTCGATGAAAGATAGGATAGTATGCTCCCAGATATCGTTCAATAGTCATTACCAGAAGAGCGATGATAGAAAGGCCGACGAACAAGTTTGAGATACGCCAGTAAATCCTGCTCTCAGTTAATAAATGGTCCTCTTCATTTAACGCGGAGACTAAATAGACGATAATTAAGGGATGACTCGTTACGATCACAAGGAAGTCGAAGCACGATAGCAGCATGATCGTGAAATAACATACTTTACTTCGAAGATATGCAGAGGATTTCCAAAAACTGACGATCACCAATGTGTTTAAAATCATTCCTATGCACAAAAGCATTACGTTCACAACGCACAAAAATATTAACTGGATGTAAACTTTTAAATCCATCTTCGGATGATAAAATCAACAAATTAAACATTAGCTTCCGTGTTGTTGAATATTCTATCAAAGGGAACAGAGTGCAAGCGGACTGTACGGCACCCTTATATACTCAGGCTTTTCACTTCCGCTACCCGCCGAAACGGAAGTGAACCCAACAAACATCAGGTTGACTATATTGAGTTACATTTATAGTAATTATGTTGTAAATTCAGTATTTTTGAATCAAAATAAATTCATACATAGAATTTGTCC